AGTCGGTAGGCAGAGGCCGGGTTCGAACCGCATACCTTCCGATCAGTAAATTCGTGCTCTGACCACCTGGGCCACCTCGTCCCCTTCCACTCAGTACAGGTTTGGGCGAAAAGAGCTCTGCCAGGCAAGCGGTCTTCTGACTGGCGGAGCTCATGTCCTAACCAGCGTAACCTATGAAGCGTGAGTAATTCAGCTTTCGCGGCAGAATTCTTCCTAAGACCATCTGCACTGAACAAGCACGCGGTTCTTACAGCTGATAACAACGATGATGACGATCGATGGTAAAAAACTGACGTCTTTTGTTTATCCTCTGCACATAGAGGCCACGTCTCTAATCCATAAAGCAGTATGGACCGCACTGTGGCAGTATAAACCATGTCATTGACAGACACACTCACGTCACGTCGGCGCCATACCTGTCGCAGGTCGGCAAAATCTGTCCTGGCTTTCCCGATTCGAGGAGTAATCTCGTCTCCAGTCAGTCAACTGGAACTTATACAGCTGCCCAGGTAGATGAATTTATCCATGACGTCGTCTGCAAGCATGATGCTTGGGTTTGATCTAGACAGAAGAGAGCAATATCGTCCGCGCACAATGTCTGTGAACGAACGTCCTGGTAGCATTTTGACTCCCGAGGTTTCGGGGACAGGCGGATACATTTCAAGGAGCACGTCAATGATGAATTTGAAGAGGAAAGGTGAAAGATGGCCTTGTCCTATACCACTGGACATGGGGAACTCAGGCGAGAGTTTCCCGCATACTCATACTCGCCCACAGAAGTTTGCATACTGTGCCCTCATAAGGGATATAACTTTTGTAGGGACACCGATCTTTCTCCCTCGATAATCGATCAACCTGTGCAAAATAATGCCAGAAGCACTTTAGACGCAATGTATACCAGGCTGATACCAGGATGGTTGTCACATAACGTTCTTACGCCCTTTTAGGATAATTTGAAATCCACCAGCGTTGTCTGTCATTCTTCAAGCTCCTGATTATTGGGTGTTTGAGGGATCTGCGTGCACTACATAGTCGCTAGTCGCTGGTATGGCCTATCCAGCAGCAATAAGACTTGCTGATCTAGAATATATCCAGTGTTCATTGAGTCGATTCACAGGCTGGACAAGCGGTTCTGAAAGCTGATAGCATTGCTTCTTTAACTTGCCTCTAATCAATCACCAAGTCGTCGTCGTCCATGTGACTTTGCGTTACCAGTAGCTTTCTAGCCAGATTGGCTGGATACTCTTCAGTTACTGAAAGGCGCGAAGTTGATGAACGCAACTGTTCTCTTTCGGCACGTGTAGTGCTAGCTGAAAGCGAGATGCTAGGCGGGCCCGTACGATGGCGTGATCAGAGTCAGGTTGCGTGCCCCAGAAGGAACGGCACTTCTTAACTGAGGCCCGTCGTCGGTAACGGATAGCTATATGGTCCAATTGAGTCTACGACTGTCTTGTGATAGGTAGCCTCCAAGCAACTCGACGTGAGTGTTTGTGTTGGAAGTTCGTGCTGGCCAGGAATAGAGAATGATCTGCGCACAATTGAAGCCGCTTCTCACTGTACGCTCAACATTGACTCCAAATCTACCACCCAACGACGCTTCTTTCGGACTTATTCGTCCAACTTGATCATTCATACCATCCACTAGGATTACTGTATCCATCCTCCTTGCTCACCGAAGCAATCGTGACAGATCTTGATAAAACTCGTGTTTCTCTTTCAGAACTGCAGTCTGTTGGAGAGTATGTCGCTACGGCAAATAAACACCGTGTACCGCATCGAATCACATCGATATTAATTAAGCCAGACAACCGCACAGCACGGTATCCGGTCCTGTAAGACACTTTCGGCCTTGGAGCTAGGTGCAACTCCCACACTGTAAATATCACGAGCCGTTGATTCAGGGTCAGCGGATACCCGAAGAGTGAAACGTGGAACATCTGAGCTCGTCCCAAGCTGCTTGAGATGCACGACCGAAGTGAGGTCTTGTCTGCGTCTTTCGGAGACAACGCAAATCGACAGAAAGCAAGGTTTCAACAAGAGATGCTTGCTGCTCAATTCGACATAGACCATGGACAGTAAAAGATGCAATGTGAGTCAGATCGTTTGAGGTTAGTAAGTGAATATTTTAGTTTATTTTTCTGAGCAAAGGTTTAGGCACCGAGCAGTGGCCAGGGGACCGGCTGATGGGTTGGTGGCACTATATCGTTCAACGGGTGGGGATGGGGTGTAGAGGAAGGCCGGTGAGCGAAGAGCTGCAAGGGCAAATGATACTTTCCGGTTGCCCAAGCCGAAGAAGAGGTTTGGTTTGGGCACCCTACCTTGCGCCTTTGACTCAAAAGTTTAACCCACAAGGCAGTGGGAGGATGTAGTGTTTTGTTCAGGATCCTACCCCTATCCTATGACTCAAAAGTCTGACCGTTGGGCGATCGCAGTGTGCGGTTTTTAGAGCTGACCCTTTCTAACCCGTCATTCCTCTAAGGAAGGCAGCAATGCTGCTTCCACAAACGCCGGTCCCTCGGGGAAAAAGCCCTACTGCCTTCACACAAAGGACAGTATGACTCTACCTCCAGACCACCTCGTAATATGAATACTCGCAGCATGGGGACTCGCTGTTGTTCATCGGGCTTCTCCCCGTTGGCCTTCCTGGTATGGTTGAACATTTAGGAACTGAGTTTCAGTCAGTACATCCCGTGGGATCACTGCATCACACAAGCCCGACCACCACGATAAGGTGGCAGCTTTAGGTCGAGAGCTGATCACACCCCATAGGTTGCGCAGTCTTGGTCAGTTGACCAACTTCCTCGGAGGGGTTTTTTCGCATAACCACGTGAGGAGTGGAAACGAGCCAGGTTGTCAAGCAATGATTCGGCAGCGAAGTATGGAAGCCATTACCAGCAAAATCAGCTGCGCTGGTCATTGCTGTCTCCCTGAGTGGGGACCACGGGACGGGCCACATTAATGCTTAGAGGTGTTATCAGACATTGCCCAATCGTACCCTCAGTGGCACCCATGCATCTATTAGCGCACAGGTGGTGATAGCCATAATACAAATCAGAAGGTGTATGCACTAATAAATGTTTTTAACTGTGATTGACAGTTGCTTACAGGAGCGATTTGTAGCATGTATAAAAATAAAGAGCAATATAAAATGTGGAGCAAGTCAACAGGGAACTTATCGTATGCGAGAGTCCCTTGGTGAAAATCCGGACGGTGGGAACGTGTTTTCTCCGCAGTTTGGCTGCTACACGTATCCCATGATTGTCCGTGGACTTGTGGGGAGGTTGACTTCCTGCTCCCTGAGCGCTCGCGAGACTGTACTGACTGCGTTCGGTTTCCCTATATGTAGGTCCGTTTGCGCGTATGTGGGCGCATCAGCACGTGAGTGGTTGGTACGCTCACTAGGCGGTGCAGACAATGGACGTCTGATGAGTCATCTTAATGTGACGTGGTTGTGGGCATGAAAAACAGACGAGTCTCGTGATCCAGCGAGCGACTGTGGGCTAAACAGTGAAGTGTGTGGGTGACTGGGTCGCCACACATCCAAGCCGTTGCCTTCGATGCATAGCTTCTTCAATCTCTCCAAATAAAAGTCCACTGACGCCCTTCTATCGAGGCGGTTTTATCAACTACCGCCTCCAATGCGCAGCTATCCACCCCATCCCTCTCAATCGTCGGCGAACGAAACTGTGGTAGCTAGAACTACTCCACTGCAAGTACGTGGTTTTCAAGCAGATAATGACAGTGTAATGACAGTGCGAGAACTTGACTTTCTTCATCAGGTTGATCCTTTTTGACCTTTCTGGCACGGATGCTTCTTGTTGGCTGAGTTCCAGCCAGTCTAGCTCGCAAGAACATTGAGCCATTGGAGCCCAATCACCACGACGAAGTAACAGCTTCAGGTCGGAATGTTTGTGAATCTCGCCATGTCAACTCATCTCAAACCCGTGCGTCTAGTAAGGTTAGTTCTCTGACACTTGATTGCGAATACTTCTCTGTAAGCCGTAATCCTTTAGTTAGGGTCCCTTAGCTCCATTTTTTTTCTATTCGGAACACTCTCACACCCTCCTGGGCTGCAACCCACCACCACTATCACAGGCGAAGTTTATTGTTACTAGCATCTGTTTCTGTAACCCAGCCTCTAGCAATACTCCCTGGACAGAATACATTGTTCACATGGTTCCCTGTCGTTGCCGTACATCTGTAGCACCTCCCTAATGCACCCCGTTTACCACAAAGAAAGTGAGGATGTCACGCCGGACTATAAGATAGGGAGCGAGATGACTCAGGTTTTTAGGGTTCTGCTAGTGTCGCACGAGCACCACTCCCCTCCACAGTGTAGCTGAGCGAATCATGGAGGTACACAAATCTTCACGGGAAATCCAATCTCTTCGTGACAGACTGTTGGGGTCACATATAGCTTACAGTTCTGCATTCAATGCCCATAGCTTCTTCTGAAACAATCTTCCTGGTTTATCTGCAGTGGTTTCGGACTCAACAGCTGCGTTCCCTCTCCTCCTCGCATAATCAACAAGCTTATTCATTCGTCGTCCTGTCGAACTACATAGTTCAGTTAGTCTTGATTAGTCGATATGAGGGCGAGATGGCTCAAGTGGTTGGACCGGAGGGTCCGTGGTCCGAACCCGACCTCTGCCCCTCGACTTCCCTTGTCTAGGCTTGGGCAACCTGGCAGTGCCCTAGCTCTCATGCTTCCTTCGGGTAGCATGGCAGCTAGGCACTGGAGGGGTGTTACAGCCGAACGACTATAAAGACTGTAAGGGCCATGGATCTGCCATGAGATTCATACCGTGCTAAAACATCTGGCAGCATATTATGCTGTCCTCACATTTGCTGTGCTCACATTTTCACAAACGTTTGCTTTCTTTTTTTCGTTTCACAGCGCCATGTCTTCAACCTTAAATTGTCTTAAAGAAGTGACCACCGTGGTTGCAGACACTGGTGATTTTGAAGGTAACCTGATCATATCAGTCATGTATAACTTTTTCGAGTAGCCATTAAAAAATATTCACCAGTTGACTCAACAACTAACCCGTCACTAATACTTTTGGCGTCAAAGCTTCCTACATATGCACATCTAATTGACGAGGCTGTCAAATTTGGTTTGCATCAAAAGTGAGTTGTGTCGTATATTTCGTTTCAACTCTTCAGGACACTTGAAGAGCAGATCCAGGCAGCGTTTGATCGTGTATTTGTACTGTTTGGTTGTGAAATTCTCAAGGTTGTTCCCGGTCGTGTCTCAACAGAGGTGGATGCTCGGTACTGAGTGCTGTAAAGTGCATAACCCTGTAAATCTTTTTTAAAAGGTACTCGTTTGATGTACAAAAGCAAGTTGACACTGCCCGTCACTTGATCAGCATGTACGAGACTATGGGAGTCTCGAAGGATCGCGTCCTAATTAAGCTGAGTTCTACATGGGAGGGTATCCAAGCGGGAAAGATTTTAGAGTCCAAATATGGCATTCATTGCAATCTGACGTTGATGTTCTCACTGTGTCAGGTGAGTCGTTGCTCTCACTCGGTTTCCTTATCTTTCATGAGGAGTTTTTATCCTGGACTGCCGGTTTTCAGTGGGCACGGTGTTCAGACCCCACCCCATCGTTCAGGTAGCACTCTTTCGGTGCCCAGCTGCCATTCCACACGAAGGAGGCACGAGGGCTGGGAACAACCTCTCTGTAAGAAACCTCTTATGAGTAAAGGATGCGGAGCTGTGGATGTGAGCGGTGGCGTGCAGTGTATCACTTCCGTAGATTCCTGACCGACGTGCATACAGATGATATCTACATAAGAGTGATTATCAAGTGGAACAGGACGGGAGTTAAGAGATGACAGCAGTGGAAGATAGGAGGCGCCGTCACGAACAATAAGTCGAAAAAGAAACCCATGGATCAAGTCAATATAACAGTGATAGGTCAGCGCAGATATTGGAGTCACATGCTTCTAACGAACCGCTAAGAATGCTTCATCGCACCTGTACTATGTGTTGGCACACTGTCTGTACCGTTGTGGCATGGCCAGAGTAAGCGCGGAATGTGGATAGTGTGCTTCTGGACGCAAAGTGGTTGAGATTGACTGAAGTTATGTACCCGAGATTCACTTCGTCAGCAGTATTCTGATAAATTGAGTGTTGATGGACAAGGCCTTAGGCGCAATCGCCACCCGGAACTTCCCCGCGTTACCTCTGCATCATATTAGCGTATGTGACTCACTTTTGCGAGTACGCTACCGATCTGTTTGTCCGAAATCTGAGAAAGTCAGTGTCTGATTTTAAGAGCGGTCTGGTTGTGGACTAACCTTTTCAGCCAAGACGCATGTAGCTTAGCTGCCACTAGATAGCCATTGTACGCCTCCGCCGTGCTCACTACTATATCGCTACCGTTCTTTATAGCATGCTGCACAG